TCCGCGACTAACTCCCTTCTGGGGCAAATGTAGAGGGATAACGGTACAACCCTCATAGCGTCACCAAATGAGGTACTTTGTAAAGGTCCGTTTCATTTGGTATATATTACCATTGTGACAGCATTTTATACCCCAAAATAGGAATCTTGCGTCTTGTTTTAGGTCCCGATAGTAGAAAGAATGCAGTGTACATGTATTCAGATGGCCGCCGTGTAACGTTACGTACTAGCGAGCGCGCACGACAATACCGCCAGAGTAGAGTAGGTTATCCTAACCCTTTAGATAGCGCAAAGAAAACAAAAACGACAGATCTGCATTAAAGAAAGTTTATTTTCCATAGCCTGGGCTAAGCCACGATCTATAACCTATGGCTTCTCCACGGGCGCTGGGGACGAGCGTGGTATTAACCGTTGCCTAATTATAATGTCTGCACAGTAGGTCTGGCGTTGACGCTTGGGATTTTGTTGAAATATATAAAACTTCACGGAGAATTGTCGCCTATGGCTTCTTGTTTTATGGTTTTCGTTGGATTTTTGGTCAACGTTGCATCAGAATTTTGCCTGTTGCAGAGGATATCTTTTCCGATATAACATTTGGAAACTACAGATGGAATGTTAACCTTATATGCGCAAATATGACCTTTATTATATGAGACATTCTGCCGAAGTGCTATGCACAATATATTACGGGTTTTGCGCAGGTGCAGTACGTTCTGCCGACATGCTTGTTACATACATGTAAAGCAACGTACAGTCAGATTCACTCTTATGGTGGAATGCTTCTTTTTTTCTGCATTTTTTTCTTATTTTAAAAACCTTGTGTGATTCTGTAGCACCATGGTACATATTAGAATATGTTTTTCTTGTGTATTTGCAGACATCACTTGAGAAGTGCAATGTAACAGCACTTGACAACATGTTCAGGACTGCACTACACTGGGCAGCAGTGTTAGGTGAGTGTCACTAATTTTTGCCTGATTTTTGAAGAAAAAAAACAAGAAATTTTGTTGCCCTCTGACAGTGGTCAACATGCCAAAAATGGGCAAAGATGTCTGTTGCCATGCCGGAAGGTGGATGGCAGATAACTATGAAGAGAGGAGACAGGACAAGGCACTGATTTGTTGTTTTGTCTTTTACTTTGATGCAGTGATGTATTTAACTTCTTTTATATGTGATGGTGGTTGTGTATATGTCATGTTTCCACTAAATCCCCTTGTTGTTTTTTTCGCCCGCTCACATTAGATTTAGAGTCTGTGGAGGATGTCATCCATAAAATTTACTTGCTTTAGCCTTATGTGCAAAATTGTTACAAAAACGATATAAGTACACTGTGAAACAAGTTTGAACTTCCAAAATAATAAGTACACTGTGTTCTAACCAATAAACTTTTAATATTATTTTATATTAAACTATGTCTTCTAATATTTTTTGTGTGAACAGGTTACCACAAGATAGTGGATCTCTTGTTAAGAAGAAATGCAGACTACAGCAGTTCTGACTCTAATGGTGCCACACCACTTCACTATGCAGCACAGAACAACCATGCAGTAAGTAATACTTACTCACCTCTTACAATACATATAGTTTTATTTCAGACACCTCCACTTTTCTCTACATATACATTTTGTATACACTTAAGTGAACTTCACTCGCTAGTGCCCCCACTTCAAACATTCTCACCAAGGACACGTTTTGCCACTTCCACTGAAGCAAAATCACCCTTTCTTCCTCCATTCACCTCTTAGGGGGAAGTTCCACGCTGAAAGTTTCTTTCCTAGAACAACATGACTATGGAATAAGCTACCCCGTGATTGTTTCCCATATGGGTATAACCTTAAACTTTTCAAGTCTAATGTCAACAAACATCTGTCCTCACTGGCTGTACAGTAGCCCAAAACATTTTGAGTGGCTCCAGGGTTGGACAAGTTTTTAAAAATCCACTTGCCCTATTGGGCAAGTACCTGGTCATTTCCACTTGCCCGAACCAACATTTCACTTGTCCAAAATATGAATTTTACCGTACTAACAGGAAAAAATTATTTTATTATAGAGTTCATGATGTTGGATACTTTTTTCATCAACATTGTTTGAAACTTGGACAAAATACTGGAGGGGCTATACTTTGCATCCAAAAAATTTACTTGCCCAATTGGGCAAGTACAGGGGGATATTCACTTGCCCAAACAGTACTTTTACTTACCCTGGGCAAGTGGGCAATGGGACTTGTCCAACCCTGGGCTCCCATGAACCTTGTTTTGTGGTGAAGTAAATTTAAAGAAAAGCAAGACAAATTTTAAAAAGTTGAGACTATCATATCTTATATGCCATTTACATGGTTGCAGTGAATACTGTACATCACTTTATATTCGTGGTAGCAAAATTTCGCGGTCATAGAAAATTGAACATGTTCCCGGAACTATATGTTGGCAGAACTATGTTCGCAGTGGGGGCAGGTGCAGAAGGAAATAAGTCTACAAATTGTTTGCGGTTATGATAAATTCGCAGTACAGAAGTGACCACAAAAACTGTGCATATATAAAAGTACCACAGATATATTAAGTCAACAAAGTTGGGTTTTCATACATGTACATGTACAGTGTATATGTCTATTTTTGCGGTTAGTGTTTTGATTAATGTATTTTGTACTCTGTCTTTAACTTCAAGGAAACAGTGAAAGTGTTCTTCTCCCATGAGCAAGTCAAGGACGAACCTGACATTGAAGGTCGCACAGCTCTCATGTGGGCTGCTGGGAAGGGTGCTGATGATGTCATCAGGTACGGACTTAGTGGCCTGACACAAAAATTTGTTTTTCACTGGCACAAACTGTTAGAAAATAGCTTAAATGTGTAAATGCCACTTTTTGCAAAAAACAAAGTGAAATTTTCTAAGTAAATCTGTCGAGATTCAAAGTGCTTGTTCTTGCATCTTGCTACAAATTAATTTATTGGAGTTTTGCACTGGGGTAAGTTTGGAATAGTCCACATTTGCATGGGAGGGAGATGGAGTGAAATATGCTGTATTTGCTGTACATTATATTTGCTCCCAAGCAAATGTCAGCCTTTCTAGTTTCTAGTATGTATTTTGTAAAGCCTGTCATTTGCTTCAGGTAACACATACAGTGTACAAGAACTTTGCTGGTTACTGCCATACATACATGTAGAGTATTTTAGAACTGCAGTTCACTTATAAATTGCTTGGAGGTGCTTGTGACAAGTCTGTGTTGCTGTACTTGACCATGCCCATTTGTTGTTTGCAAAAACTTTCCTGGTTTCAATGTATTGCCATGGAGTACATGTATTAGAATTGCAATTCACTTAGACATTGCTAGGAGGCGCTTGTGACAAGTCAGTGTTGCTGTACTTGACCGTGCCCATTTATTGTTTGCAAAACTTTCCTTATTACAATATATTGGCATACATAGAGTATTAAAATTGCTGTTCACTTACAATTTGCTAGGTGGCGCTTGTGACATGTCTGTTGTTGCTCATCTGTTGTTTCCAGAGTTATGCTGGACAACAACGCAGACATCCACGCAGCAGACAAGACAGGAGGAACAGCGCTCCATGCCGCAGCGCTGTCTGGACATGCGCAGTCTGTCAAACTCTTACTGGATGTGAGTCCCACAAAAAATTTCTCTTCTGAATTCTTTTTATGTCTTTTGGACTGAAAAGAGCTCTCTGTTCAGCTGTAATTTTTACTGTTCTATTTTTTTGCACAAGGAAGGATGCAAGCTTTTGCTTTAGTGTTTTCTATCATTTGCAAAAATGTAGTTGAAGAAGTAAAGAAGAAAGATAGTCTGCTGTTCATTTGTGAATGTTTGTAGATACATTGTACCTTTTTTTAGAAAATTGTTACTTTTTCTTTGCACAGTACATCAGTGAATGTGGTAAACATGTGAAGACAAAAAAGGTTTTTAATGTTTTTTTTCTCTCAGCTTGGTACATTGGTGAACAGGGTAAACATTTTGTAAAAAAAATTTTTTTGTTTTTCTTCAGCATGGTTCATCAGTGAACGTGGTAGACATGTTAAACTTGACCCCACTGTTCCGTGCCTGTGAGATGGGTCACACCGAGGTGGTGCAAGTGTTGGTAGAGGGGGGTGCCAACATTGACCGAACTGACAGGGATGGAAGATCACCCCTGCACTGGTAAGGAATCTTCTTACTCACGAATTTTAAAGAAAACTAGAAACGTAACATTTGCAAAGCAAATGCATAATGTTTATCTTCACATATGGTCTGCTCTGTTAATTCTTACTCAAATACATTCATATACATGGTGAGACAGGAGTATAAATCCCTCCTGCTATAAAATTGCAGAATGATGTAACCCAACACTAGTTACCATGGTGACAGACATCTGGTTCATGTCATTGACCTTATTGATTGGAGAAGAAGAATAAGAAAAGGAAACAGAGCAAAAACAGTCTATGTTTTCTTTCTGTAAACATAATAAAACAGAAAATCTACAAAAGACATTCTTTCAATCATGCATATCGTAAGCCTTTTAAGTTCTACAGTGTTGTTTGAATTTAATTATAAGCATCATTTCTTTCTTTGAATAAATTTTTATGCGAATGTGGTGCTATGTTCTGTCTTCAGGGCGGCACTGGGAGGCCATGCCCACATTTGTCAACTGCTGATTCAGAGCGGACGAAACCCTGACGTCAAAGACAAATCCGGGTAAGTAACAAAGTGTTAAAATGAAGTTCAATACTTATTTGCTGATAGTATCCTAAAATTTCTGAACTCTTTTTATTTCTCAGTCAAAAATGTAGACTTTGAAGATGAGTAACCTGTAATATCTTTCCGTTTCCAGCCGTACCCCACTACAATGTGCAGCCTATGGAGGCTTTATCAACTGTATGGCAGTTCTAATGGAGAACATGGCAGACCCAAACTTACAGGACAAGGAGGTACATGTGCATACTATAACATTGTGGAAAGATGGTTGGGTGACTTGTACATGTAGATAAAAGTGATGTTTGCAAGATGGTTCGTTGAATTTCAGACATCCAACTTCTGCATGTAATAGAACCAAAACACTGATTATGAAGTGTAGGGATGACATGGTGTATTTTGTCCAAAATGTAGTAAAGCAGTATTACTGTACAGTACTACAGTACTACTAGCTATCAAAAAGGTTTTGCCTCAGTGTTTGGTCACTAAGTCTTAATGGCATCCAGTGCAATTTCAGGGCAGCAAAACTGGAAATATTCTGAATAAGGCAATCTGTATGATATTGACACTTACTGCTTCACATTAGCACATTTTAGTCAGTAATCCATACTTTGGGTCTTTAAAACTGCAGATACAAGCCCCGAGATGAGTCCTTCATTTTCTGGGTGGTACCATAAAATCAGCCCAGGGACCTTCCAGTAACCATTTTCTGTCAGAATTTTGGAACTGTTTGCTCCATGAGTGTCAATATACAGTGGGATAGTGTAGTTTCAACTCAGCAAGTATGTACTTGTAGATAAATTACTAGAATATTGGTTTTGAAAAATCGGGTTTCCAAGCCCCAAAAACTGCATTGGATGCCTTTAGTACATTTTATTAATGTCCTTGTTCCCTTGCCTCTGCAGGGAATGACAGCGCTCCACTGGTCGTGCAGTTCAGGCTACATGGATGCCTGTAAACTCCTCCTACAGTACTCTGCCTTCCCTAACCACATGGAGTTCACAGAAGACAGGTCAGTAAGAAAACTACAGTCTTACGCTTAGATTTTTAGACAACATTAATGCCGCATCTGTTCAGATATATTCTTGTATACAAGCTTCTGGAAGAAACTAGAAAGCTAACATTTGCAAAGTAAATGCATAATGTTTACCTTCGCATATGGTCTGTTCTGTTAATTCTTAATCAAACACATTCATATATATGTATGGTGACAGGAGTATAAATCCCTCTTGCTATAAAATTGCAACATGATGTAACCCAACACTAGTTACCATGGTGACAGACGTCTGGTTCAGGTCATTGACCTTATTGGTTTTGAGAAGAAGGAGAGGAAACAGCGCAAAAACAATATGTTTTTCTTTGGTAAACATATTTACTTTGTAGAATGTTACCACATGTATCATTTGTCCAGACTTCAAATAGAAAACAATCTTTCAAATTGTAAGTGAAATCAATTCTGTTTTGGAAAGATGAATGAAGTTTTGAAATCATCCCTTCACAAGTGATCCATGTTACTATCTATAGCCTTCACAGTGGTATTGAGGATTGTATTTCTTTTTTCATCATATAATGTAGGTTCACACCACTGGACTATGCTCTGTTGGGAGGGCATCATGAAGTGGCACAGTACATGATAGAACAGGGAGCCCTGTCTATTACAGGGATACAGGACCTGGCAGCCACCAAACTACAGGTTAGACATGTAAATGTACAATGTATGTAACATGTATGTAACAATCATATATGTAACATAGAACTGGGAGCCCTACAGGGATACAGGACCTGGCAGCAACCAAACTACAGGTTAGATATGTAACATGTATGTAAAATGTATGTAAACTGTATGTAACATCTATGTAACTTGTATATTGTTGTTTTCCTACAGGCCATGTATCGAGGGTACAGAGTGAGGAAAACATTCCTTGAGAGAAAAAAGCTAATGCTGAAACATGAACAGCTCAGGAAGGATGCCTTAGCCAAGTATGAACATTATTATGTCTATTTTTCTATCCTTGAATATTAAGTGTAGCAATTTGTGTATTGATGCACTGTAAAATATTCATAGAATCACCGTAGAATCATACTTAAAATTCAACAACTCAGTCTTAAAAATACAACTTTTGAGACAAAAGTTGTCTACGTCATGTTAGATATAAAATCATGTCCTCAACTCAAACTCTTTGGCTTGAAAGTTCAACTTGGTAGATTTTGTAGTAGACAAAAGTGAAATTTGTAACACAAAGAGAAATTTTTACTGAATAGCACCAGTTTTTGTCAAGGAATGAATCAACCCACTGCCACTATGACGTCACTGTATGCAGATAAAATGGCGCGGTTCAAAAATTATAGTTTATAACGTCCCCCGTCATACATGTGTGTCTTAGGCCACACCACTTTAATTTGTTGGTTCTCAAATTCGCCTCTTCATATTTTTTCTGATTTGCAAAAAAAAGACTCTGGTTCTGAATCAACTCAAATATGCTCATATTTTGCCAGCAACAGTTGAGGAAAGTCCTTTTCTTCCTAGTTGTTACAGTTTTTCCATCTATCAATGCAGTGGTTTGATTAAAAGTTCAAAATTCATTGTTTGAATATTAATCCAGCCTTTTGTGTTGACTTCATGGCTCCTATCACTGCATTTGGGGCTATAAAAGGATGCCTAGACCTGTTTTTTTTTTTTTGCCCTGTCACAAATAACTAGTACTTAATCTCTACAGAAAAAGGGCTGAAGAGGAAAGAAGACAAAAAGAGGAAGAAGAAGAACAGAAGGCACAGGAAGTGAAGACAGCGCCGGTTCTTGTGAAAGAACAGAAGGTGGAAAAGAGAGACAAGGAGCTGGAGACTAAAGACATAGAACCTGTGAAGGTCAAGGCCACTAACACCAGACAGACAGTTGTCAGGAAGAGACATGTGTCTTCTGACAGGTGTGTTACCTCCATGAAAAATGGAAGTATTGTTTTTGGCGTGTCTGTGTGTGTGTCTGTCTGTGTTTCTGCAACTTTGTTGTCAGCATAACTTCAGAACACCTCCATGGATTGTGATGATATTTGGTTTGTTGGTAGGTCATAGGAAGACAAAGGTCAAGGTCAAATATAGGCCTCCTGGTGGCTGACCTTGGTACTGCAGCAGAACTTCCGGTTTTTGTATCTTTTGTCATGAACATGCTATGGTCTTGATTTTTTGGTGACAGATTGCTTTTCCTGTCAGGAATAAGTGGTGAGGGTTTTCCCCCTAGCAGCTTGTTCTGGAATTGCAGGGGAGTTTTTGGCAAAATCTTTTAAAGCGGATAAGTCCAATAAGGAACAACGTATTTTCATCATTTTTGGTATCTTAGAGAGATATGTACATAATTAAATACAATTTATGTAAATGAAGACTTAATTTGCATGATAAATAGAGTGATGAAAGTTGTGTTAAGTGCCTTTTCCAAGGCAGGACATCAAGCAATTGTTGATATTGCGACACACCATTGTCTTTCTGTATTTTTTTAAAGCATTGGTAGAAATTTTGTTCTGCAATTCGGGAATACTTTCTGCAAATACACACTTTAAAGTTCAGATCTAAACCCATGGCATATGCAAAATTGTGTGTTTGCAAACATTTTACATGCAAAAGTACATGTACATGTATATTATAGAGTCAGTAGTAAACACAAATTCTTAAACACCATTGTACCCCTAGCCTGATGTTTTTTCAGTCTGTAAAATTGCAGGTTGCTTAATTTTTCCTCTACAATATTTAAAATGTCTCTGCAAAATGCAGACTGCAGAAGGGTATTTCTTTTATTGTAAGGCACTTACAGTACCAGCAGCCTGTACAATAAGACTGAAAAACTCTTTCTTACACAGGGCAATATGCCTGTACAACGAGTCTTTGCAGTAACTCTCAGGACTCTCTGGACTGTACTTTAGTGCCCATGTGTGGCTTTGTAATGTGTTTGTTTGTGTGTTTGTATACGTATTGAAATGTTAATTTTGTATTTGTACAGTACTTACTGTAGGGGAAGGAAAACCCTGATTTCAAACCTCCGCTGCCTTGCGGCTATACCCACCCTGGGAAAGGCTATGGGAGTAAACCCAGACAGAAAATCCGGAGTGGTGTACGTTAGGCGGTTGTCTGTCAAACTCTGGCATTCTTCCGACAACTCCTGCAGCCAAACCGACGCCAAGTGTCACGCCTTGCGTTCCCTTGGACCACGTCGGAGCGGCCAAGAGGGGGGCCCTGTTGTTTGGGCAGCGCAGAGTCTCCATACACTTGCCCAGGCTAGCACTCTGGAGAGACCACTCCAGTCCCCACCTTTTGACGGAGGGGAGAAACAAACCGGAAGGCAGCAGTTACGGGTTGTAAGTCCTTGCTGGATTGACGTAGAGCTGGACGCCACGGGCTGCCTTCGACAGTGGGAAGGATCCTCGTTATCCTACTGGTCAGCTACCGCCCGCTCTAAACCGGGCAGCCCCCGGTCAGTTAGGTGCTGACCCGTCACAATCCACCTGCTCCATTGGGTGCTTGGAGCTTAGAGTCCTTACTCGACAAGTGGATTGTAAATCGTGCACCAGACAATCAAGTAAGAAAAGAGAGGGGAAAGGGAGGGAAGGGAGGGAAAGGGCTCCAAGGAAATGACTCGAGCTATCCGCATTGGTAGCTGGAATGTACGAACCATGCGCACTGGTCTGTCGGATGACCTAAGGGACATTGATGACATTCGGAAGACTGCTGTGATTGACCGTGAGCTTTTCAGACTCAATATTGACATAGCTGCTCTACAAGAAACACGGCTTCCCGACAGCGGGTCCCTTAAGGAGGATTCCTACACCTTCTTTTGGCAAGGGAAAACAAGTGAAGAACCCAGAGAACACGGGGTTGGTTTTGCCATTAGGAACACCTTGTTGCACATGATAGAACCTCCATCAGGTGGGACAGAAAGGGTTATTACCATACGTCTCTCCACACATGAAGGACCTGTTAATCTTTTGAGCGTTTACGCGCCGACCTTACAGGCCACGTCTGAAGTCAAAGACCTTTTCTACGAGCAGCTTGACAGCGTTCTCAAGGCAATCCCAACATCAGAACACATCTTTATGTTGGGAGACTTCAACGCTAGAGTGGGGGCAGACCATGAGTCCTGGTATGATGTGCTAGGCCACCATGGGATAGGGAAAATGAATGAAAATGGGCAAAGGCTCCTCGAGCTTTGCTGCTACCACAAGCTTAGCGTAACAAATACCTATTTTCCCAACAAGGCTGTCCGCAAAACATCTTGGCGACACCCAAGATCCCGCCACTGGCACCAGCTGGACCTAGTCATCACACGACACTCCTCTTTAAACAGTGTTTGCAACACGAGGGCGTATCACAGTGCAGACTGTGACTCTGACCATTCTCTCATTATTTCAACAATAAAGTTAAGGCCCAAGAAGTTACACCACATGAAAAAGAAAGGTCAGCCAAGAATCAATATCAGCAAAACCACCCTACCAGACAAAAACCAGAAGTTCCTAGAACAGCTTGAGGGATCACTCAAAAACACTGATCAAATACAGTGTGCAGAGCAGATGTGGGAGTCACTCTGCAATACCATCCATAGTACGGCTGTCAAGATCTATGGGAAGAAGGAATGTAATAACACAGACTGGTTTGAAGCACACATTTCTGTGCTCGAACCTATCATAGAAAAGAAACGTGTAGCACTCCTCAGCTACAAGCAAAACCCCAGCAGCCAAAAACCTACAGGCACTAAAAAGCTGCCAGACATGAAGCTCAACAAACCTCACGCCGCTGTGCAAACAACTACTGGGTCCAGTTATCAGAGCGTATACAGGTTGCATCCGACATCGGTAACATCAGGAAAATGTATGAGGGTATCAAACAAGCAACTGGCAAAACAATCAAAAAGTGTGCACCACTTAAAGCAAAGACAGGGGAGACCATCATTGACAAAGAAAAGCAAATGTCACGCTGGGTGGAACACTACCTGGAACTTTACTCACAAGAAAGTGCAGTCTCTCAGGACGCACTAGACAGCATTGACGATCTGCCCGTCATTGCAGAGCTGGATGCTGAACCCACAATGGAAGAGTTGAGCAAGGCAATAGACTCTATGCCAAGCTGGAAAGCACCAGGGGAAGATAATATCCCAGCGGAAGTCATTAAGTGTGGCAAACCTGTTTTACTAAAACCACTAACACGACTTACTATGTCTTGCTGGAGAAGGCAAAGTTCCCATCAATGCGCAACTCTAAGATCATTACCCTGTACAAGAACAAAGGGGATCGTAGTGATTGCAACAGCTACAGGGGCATTTCCCTTCTTAGCATCGTGGGGAAAGTCTTTGCCAAAGTGGTTCTCTCTCGGCTGCAAGTACTGGCCAACAGGGTTTACCCCGAATCCCAGTGTGGATTTCGTGCAGAGAGATCTACAACAGACATGATCTTCTCTGTACGCCAGCTGCAAGAGAAGTGCCGCGAACAGCAGAAGCCGTTGTACATTGCCTTTATCGATCTGACCAAGGCTTTTGACCTTGTGAGCAGAAAAGGTCTGTTTCAACTGTTGAAGAAGATTGGGTGCCCTCCACAGTTGCTTAGCATTATCATCTCCTTCACGAGGACATGAAGGGTGTGGTCAGCTACGACGGAGAGACTTCTCAACCCTTCGAAATCCGGAGTGGCGTTAAGCAAGGGTGTGTCCTCGCTCCGACCTTATTCGGAATCTTCTTCTCTCTGTTGCTCAACTTTGCGTTTGGTCACTCCACACAAGGTGTCCATCTACACACTCGCAGTGATGGGAAATTGTTTAACCTGGCCCGACTGAGAGCTAAGACCAAGGTCCGCACAGTCCTTATAAGAGACTTGCTGTTTGCTGACGATGCAGCACTGACTGCACATGTAGAACAGGAGTTACAGCAGATGATCAACCAGTTTGCCCATGCCTGTAAGGAGTTTGCGCTGATCATCAGCATCAAGAAAACTGTCGTCATGGGGCAGGACGTCCCCAGACCACCTGCTATCACCTTGGACACAGAAGTTCTTGAGGTGACAGATCACTTCACTTATCTCGGATCAACTGTCACCCAAAACCTGTCTCTTGACAAGGAACTAGACAGACGGATAGCCAGAGCTGCAGGTGTGATGACCAAACTTGCAAAGAGAGTTTGGGACAACAACCTTCTGACCCTAAACACAAAACTCCAAGTCTACCGCGCATGTGTTCTCAGCACGCTACTGTATGGCAGTGAGACTTGGACGACCTACGCTAGGCAAGAAAACAGACTTGAAAGCTTCCACCTGCGCTGCTTGAGGCGCATCCTTGGAATCTCCTGGAGGGACAGGGTACCTAACACCACTGTCCTGGAGCGTTCTGGCTCTCTGAGCTTACATCTCCTCCTCTGCCAACGCCGCTTACGTTGGCTGGGTCATGTATACAGAATGGAGGATGGGCGTATCCCAAAGGACATCCTGTATGGAGAACTTGTCACGGGAAGACGCCCTGTAGGCCGCCCAGCACTACGCTTCAGGGACGTTTGCAAACGCGACATGAAGTGTACCGACATTGACCCAGCCAGCTGGGAGCAGCTTGCGGCAGACCGCAGTGAATGGCGGCACGCGGTCAAGGTTGGCCTAGCAAGAGGACAGGTGAAACATCACATGCGGCTGGACACAAAGCGCCAGAAGCGGAAAGAGAGACTCCATGCTCAAAACAGCTCATCTTTCCTGTGTCCCAACTGTGGTCGGGACTGCCATGCGAGGATAGGGCTGATTAGCCACACCAAACGCTGTCCTCGGCCACAACACCAGACCTAGAGTGCTACCATCATCTTTCGAGATGGAAGGATGCCTACTATACTACTACAGTACTTACTATACCATTGTAAAAATCAGTGTTATTCAGCTTGTATGTGCACTAGCTGCAAGGCTGATTTATTATTAATAAAACTGAAACTTAAACTTAAGGCATTTTTCTAAAGTGTTGTTTTTCCTTCATTAGTAAACCCAGTCTGGAGGTTTGTCCAGAGGAGATTCTACAGCAGAAGAGACAGGCAGTACAGCAGGAGAAGGAGAGGTTACAGCTCATCCGACGTAAACAACATGCCGCAACAGTTATACAGGAGGCATGGAAAAGGTATTTTCTTTAATACATGTATACAGTAGAGTAGTGTAATAGAACTGTCCCGAAGTTAGGACTTGAAATTAAAGGTGGTCCAATGGCCACTGACCACTTAAATTTAGGCTGGGTCAACTACAAAGGTTTTGGGGACAATAGAAAAATAGTTAACATCAGAATGTCGGCCCTTCTTTTGTTTATCAGGCACATGTCCCGGCTTTGGTCTGGAAAAATCTCCCCGAATTTTTTATCTACTCTGCAATTATAGTGCGCCTGGGAGTGAACATAAGCAAAATAAAGTTGACTTCAAGTTGAAGTCATACAATACTTCCAAAAAAACAAGTTGGGACAGTTCATTCTCACTACGGGACAATTGAAATTTATTTTTGGGACAGTGCTGGGACAATAGGAAGAAAAGTTAATTTCGAGACCTGCAAAAGTTTGAATTTTCCTCTGTGTTATGTCTTCACAGGTATAAAGCCAAACGACCAGGCTTGTTCAAGTACACCCTGCTGGCTGTGGGTGAGAGAAGAAAAGAAGCAGCAGAGGATGAGTGGAAGAGAGAGGTGGCAGCACTCACTATCCAGCTGGCCTGGAGAAAATACTTCAGGTAGTAGGATTGGTTGATTGATCGATCAATCAATTGATTGATTGATTGATTGATTGATTGAATCGATCGATTGATTGATCGATCGATTGATTGGTTGGTTGGTTGGTTGGTTGGTTGGTTGGTTGGTTGGTTGGTTGGTTGGTTGGTTGGTTGGTTGGTTGGTTGGTTGGTTGATTGATCTATTAATGGGTTGGTGGATTTATTGATTGATGGGATGATTGATTGATGGGTTGATTGATTAATGGGTTGGTGGATTTATTGATTGATTAATTGATGGGTTGATGTGTTGATTGGTTGGTTGGTTGGTTGGTTGGTTGGTTGGTTGGTTGGTTGGTTGGTTGGTTGGTTGGTTAATGGGTTGATTGATTGATGGGTTGATGTGTTGATTGATGGGTTGATTGATTGATTGATTGATGGATGGATTGATTGATGTTGTTTCTGAAAATAGCTTTTTTTATAGTTTTTGAGAATAACTTTTTATTTAAATCGCATTTCCTTTTTTTTGACAGGAGAAAACTCTTGCGGTCGCTGTCCCCCAGACAGAGGAGAATCCTCCATCCATGGAGCCCTGAAGTCCTGGCAGCCAAACAGAGAACACTGGTGGAACAGGTGTATGGTGAGCAGAATGTAATCTTATGAGTATATAGATCATCCAATGACATCTCTTCTTTCTCAATATGAATTGCTTTGTTTTTCTTGCCAATTGGTGACGCGATATTTTTATTTCAGGAGAGAACCAGAACAGACTGACTCCCCAGTGGTACCCCACACCACCCAAACCTCCCAGGCCTGAGTACATGAAGTACATTCCATCTCCGGCTGGTAAGGTCTTCAACTATTCATACTACAACATCGCATATAAGGTCGTATTTGTGCATATATGGTAAACATCCCGTCTGTAGTTTCCAAATGTTAAATTGTAAACTAAAGATATCCTCTGCAGTAGGCAAAATTCTGATGCAACGTTGATCAAAAACCCAACGAAAACCGTGAAAAATCCGGGTTTTGCTCAGGTGCAGTACATTCTGCCAACATGCTTATATACATGTAGAGTTGCTGATGTTCTATACTGTGTGCTTCCCAGCTGTTTCGTTTAACTACGCGGTGGACATGTACAACCCGTGGGCCAGTCGGCGCGGGATCAGCCGTATGGAGTACGTCCCGCCTAACAGCACCCGGGTCGGCCGAGAGTTCTCCTTCCAACAGAGCGCCAGGATGAGGGAAACACCCACTTACCCCACCATGAACGGCACCATGGAGGTACCTGCAGTACCGAAATGTTCTGCTAGATGTCACTATTGCACTGTTCATGGCTGCTTTATGGCCGCACAACACAGTATTTATGGGTGAACCCCGTAGTCAAAAGAAGTCCGGGCACAAAGTAGTGCTGCAGAATACTAGAGAAAGGTGCCGAGATTGTTCTGTGCATGGCATCAAGATAGAACCTGTGGTAAATGTTAGAGGAATACGTCAGTTTTGAGACTGTAAAAGTTGAATTATGGTGCGTGTTCAGTCGGCGTAGATTTGCGCTTGGATACTTGTCCCGCCTAGTACTGTGCATCGGCTGCAGTTCCATGACCTCCGCAGTGGCGCTAATAAAAGAGGGCATGAGAAGAGAACTAGCCGGCAAATTTAAGCTCATTTTCGCATATTTTGTACACATATCAAAATCCTGAACCTTGCTTGTGTTACTATGATTTTCAGTGAGTCGAGGTGAGTCACTTTGGGGTCCTTAACTATAGAAATCTCCATAGGGCTAGAACTGTGTTGTGGATGTTATGTTTCTGATGCCATTTGTTTGTGTGTTTCTTAGTTTATTTGTTTTGGTGTTTCTTCCTTTATTTTTTAACAGGATAGCAGGATAAGGAAGTTATGTATGATTTTTATGGTGTGTATGTATGTCAGTGTTCAAAGATTGAAGAAGAAGTTTATGTTTTTTAGTTCCTTGGGACTTCCTTTCAGGTACTAAGAGAGATTTCTTGTTTCAGTGGGACCCATATGTTACTTTTGGCAGTGGTGGATCCCAGAGACTTGGTGGAACAGGACAGAGTATGGAATGGGACATGTTCGGTAAGAGATACATGTAAATAACTACTGATGAATTTACTCAAGAAACTGGATAGATTTTGAAAACTGTCAGACATTTCAAGAAAGACTACTTTTCGTCAGTCACTGACATCGGGTAACAATTTCCTTGAATAATGGGGTGTTTGAATTCTTTTACAATATTAAGATATCATTTTAGACTTTTCAAACTGGATAAAAGTTTAATAACTAAACGTTTCGGGTGTTGTTCCGACACCCTTCATTGTTGAATGGAATACATAGGAATTTTCGGAATGCTATATGAGAAACAAGGTTCTAAATAAACAAAACAAAAAACAGTCAAGTTGTTCAAAGGTGTGTTCTAAACAAAAGGTAACTGACATAAAATATGTTCCAAAAAGGGTAAGCAAAAGAGGGAAATAAGGAAAAAACTGTACAAGACTAATAAGAAACTAAAGTACAGTAAAAAAAAATACATGTCAAAAATACAAGTGTCTGAAAAATTAAATAAATACATTTTTCTTTTCCTTCAGTTGGGGATTTCCGGAACGTGAGCCTCTTGGATTCCATCAGAACAGACCAGTATTCCTACAACCTGCGGCAGTCTCAGCCCTTCCCAGGGCAGCTACATCCCTACCAGTATCACCAGGAGTTTTGAGTTCAAAGCTGGGAAAATGCCTCCACTCCTGAGGCATCGCCAAAAAAGACCAACAAGTCTACAACTCTACATTCCACAGTAGCTTAACATTAATCCCACTTCTGCAATAGTCCCAAACCTTTTGCAGATATTTTTGTATATAGTGAAAATTTTCCAATATTCCCAGTATTTATAACACAGTAAACATCGCAGTCATCACGTGTGAATGAACACCAGCTTTTCTATTGTTTTGCTGCTATTTTTTCAACCACAGTGTCAATATACCACAAACTCTTGATTCTCGACTAAGCTGTGTACCTAAACAATACAGAACAGATCTTTCAGCCTGTAACACAGACACACTGTCCTGTCTCTGGGACCCATAGGGGGACCAACTATTTCACTATGGTCACCATTTCACATTTCACTACGGTCACAAATAACCATATAATTAGTGTACCTGTATATAGGTACAGTACCTGGTACTGAGGGATTAGGTATTTTGGACCTGTACCTGAGCAATTTTTTCGGTACAATATCGGTACTGCGCACCAGTACACAGCCCTATTCTCGACAGTCCCATACCCTCTGGAGATTCTTTTCCAGACACATTTTAGAAATGAACCTCTTTTACAGTAATCATTAATTTTCAAACCTGCATTCTTTCCAAAGCCATGTTCCTTCTACTACTACATTCAAGTGGGATGGATGGATTAAGTTTATGTGGATTCCAGATACATGTAAGCTTAAGAAATAATAGGTTACCGTTTTGTTTTGCTTTGCTTTGTTTTGTGAATTGTTTTGCTGTTTCGCTTACATAGTATGAATGACACTCAAGGAATATTGTGGTTCGCTTTCATCTTGGGTGCTACCAAATGATGGCTACATGGGGGTGGTCAGGGCCACCTTTGCCTACAGTAAAAATTTGCCAATGAAGAATGCAGAAACTAAGAAATTTTGGGCAGTACTTAAACCTGTGTGCCTTCCTGTATAAATGAGCTTAAGCCGTCATGCTTTTTCTAATTATCAGAGAATTATTACGATAACTATGTAATATTATTTAATTGTCCATTATACTTAATATACAGAAATGAAGAAGCCATAATTGCTCTTTTTATTGCTATGCAATTAGCTTATTGCTTTGATTTTATAATTTTTACAGACGTAACAAATTTGAATTTGATGAAGATTTTTCAGACCCATAGTAGGGTATGCCCATTTTAGCTTTCGATTCAATTTTATGGAAACAAACTTTTACAAAATAGTGTAATATAGGTTGCTCTACATGAAAAGTATTTTTATACTTGTCAGTTTTCTATAATGTATATAGTACATGTATCTTCTACATTCCCTTCTTAATGTTTAGGCCACAGCAAGTAATTTTTATGGATGACATCAGCGTGTGCATTGATATTCGCCTGATTGTGGAAAGAAAGAAATTTTGTTGTCCTCTGACAGTGGTCAACATGCCAAAAATGGGCAAAGATGTCTGTTGCCATGCCGGAAGGTGGATGGCAGATAACTATAAAGAGAGGAGACAAGAAAAGGCTCTGATTTATAAAGTTTTATCTTTTACTTGATGCAGTGAAGTATTTCATTCCTTTTATATATGATGTTCCCACTGAATCAAAACCATTTGTACAATGACAATTTTTCAGTGACAATGGATGTTTAACAAGGTTTATGATGTCAAAATATGAAAATGTAGGAACCTCGTTTTTGGTCCGCCTTGTTTTTTTTGCCCGCTCGCATTAGATTTGGAGTCTGCGGAGGATGTCATCCATAAAATTTACTTGCTGTGGCCTTAGGAGATAGAAAAGTAAGATAGCAAGGTTTGAACCCAGGGACTGACCAAATGCATTGTTGCCTTAGGCCACACCAATTTAATTTCTTGGTTAACGGATTCGCCCGCTTCATTTTTTTCTGATTTGCAAATAAAAATAAAAATTCAGAATCAACTGCAAAATGCTCATATTTTGCCCTGAACAGTTGAAAACAGTCCTTTTCATCCTAGTTGTTGCAGTTATTCCATCTTTCAATGCAATGGTATCATTAAAAGTTCAAATTTCATTGTTTAGATTTTGAACCAGCCTGGTGTGTTGACTTTATGGCTCCTATCGTACCATTTTGGGTCATAATAGGATGCCTAGGTCTGTTTTTATTTTATTTTTTTTCGCCCGCCCGCTCCATTATTTTTCTACAAAAATCCGTTAACCAAGAAATTAAATTGGTGTGGCCTTACCAAAGTGCCTCAGGTTTCTGATGTTGTTGTGGAGATTATTTTGGTGGTTCCCTAAAATACATTTTGTATATTTCTATTTTATGCCTTTTGCTCTGAGAAATAGCTGTGTAATAGCTCGGTTATATTTGCATAAATATGTACAGCATTATTACTCTATTCTTCCAGCAATAAAGTAATAAGTCTGATTTTTGCTTCATTTTATATTTATTTCATGCAGAAAATTGCAATTGGGGCAAGTTTACTAGACGTGTAATACACATTTCTAGAAATTAAAGGCCAATTGTGATCATCTTCTAATAGAGCTAAGCATTTAAATATCATGACATACCATTGGTGATACATGTATATGCTACATACACGTTGTGTGGAAACTAAGTATCCACTATAGCTATTATGATATCATGAAGGTTCATCTGTGTTGGTAGTTACATGTTAAAGTTAAAACTTTAGATCCAACACAAAAAATTCACCTAGAGCTTTCGACCAGTCACTCTGGTCTTCCTCAGTAGACTGACCCAGTGAAGCTTGTCACGTGGCTTCTTTGACATGTGACGTCAACACTGGGTCAAAGATATCTGGCTATATATGATCTACACTGATTATGTATGTTGTCAAAGTAAGAATCTTGGACTCAGAACCGGACTTCTTTGCACGAGGGATTAAAGAAGCCATCTACATCAGGGCATTACAACCATCCCTCAATAGAGACGGGGGGCGCCACAGACTTTCTGCAACCTATGATCCACTGCTCACGGAGTCACGTGTGTTATCTGCGTGAGGTAACAGTGGATTGCTCATTCCTTGACAAAGACTGGAGTTGTACAGTCAAAAATATGGGTGAGTCCAATTTGTTGTGTTGGAAATTACAGTTTAAACTTGCTTCATAATCATTCTACCAACACAGGTGAACTTTCAAGATCTATGTTGTATTCTTAGGTTCATCCAAAACACCTTTTCTCCTCTGAATGTCTAAAACTCTGTCAAAATAGGCCAAAGCAGTCCTCAAGTCCCCCTTTTCTTCATAAGCATACCCCAAATTGGTTAAAACTTCTTCCAAACTTGTATGAGTACCGTCCTTTCCATATAGCCCCTCTAGTATCTGTAGAGACTCTGTGAAATGTTCTATGGCTTTTGGGATGTCCCCTTCTTGGAATTTTGCGGCGCCCAAGTTGCCCAGTACAGTAGCTACAGAGTGGTGGTTGTGACCATGAACTTGTCTTGCTGCTGTGAGAGACTCTTGTAGAAACGACATGGCTCGATCATCCCCTGAAATGCAATCATAATCTTTCAGCATTATACACTCAGGCAGAGGAAAATTTGAAGAAGTCAGAACACTACAATCAGCTTACACCATGTAAAATGACAGTAGTATAAGCAGTAAAAATCCTCTCAGTTATTTGCCACCAATTTCATGTAATCAACACGTATTCCCCCCTCAGCTAGAGGGATCCTGGGCCCTACTAGGGTTTGGGTTGGCGTTAGGAAGGGCATCCAGTCGCCAAAAAATCTTTCTTCAAAAAAGACTTGCACTTGATACAAGCATGTCTAACCCCTAGTTTCAGAGGGAAAAAGATGTTAAACTGGATAGAGAGAGAGAGTACCGTTAAACCAGTGAATACTGAAACATGCTATAATAAATGCCGTGTAATGTCAAGCAGGTTATGTTTTGAAAAGCTGTGGATGGATCCTTAGGATATTTGGTGTGGATAGGTCTCAGCAACAGGTTATGGACCCTGTATTGGCTTTGTATTGTACTGCTATATATATATACAGAACTTCGGGCTTTGATATCTCATGCTTTTTGGTGACATTCATTCAAAGTGATATACATTTGTGCCCCTTGGCAGATGTTTTTATAGGGGAACTACAAGAACATTTCTTCTTGTGAAAGAAATTGGAAAGGGATGTATGGATGTATGACTACATAAATTT